TCTAGTTTTTTCTACTACACATTCACGTTCATTTCATACATCAAATAAACGAGATAAAAAAGATTATTATGAAGTTTTAGGTGTACCAAAAACAGCTACTGCTAAAGAAGTCAAAAAAGCTTATTATACAGTTTGTTTGATTTTTTATTTTATCAATTAAATAATTATTCATTTATTATTATTTTTAGTTAGCAAAACAATATCATCCCGATACAACGGACAAGAAAGATGCGGCGGCAACAAAAAAATTTCAAGAAGTATCAGAAGCTTATGAAGTATTGAGTGATGAAACAAAACGAAAAAATTATGATACATATGGTATGGGTGGTGATCCATTTAGTTCAAGTCAAGGTTCATATCCCGGTGCTCGTGGTCCTTCAAGTGATCCACGTCAAGGTGGCTTTCGTGGTTACGAATATTATCAATCTCAAGTTGATCCCGAAGAATTATTTCGAAGAATTTTTGGTGATGCATTTAGTCGAGGTGGATTTAGTAATCATGAATGGATGAATGATGCCGATGAGAATTCATTTCAAAAACAAGGCATTACACAAGTAATCATATCATATTTTTCATGTCGATTTAATTAAAAGAAGGATAATGAGACGATCAAACATGCGAGACACTCGATAGAAAAAAAATTATGCATTGATGTCTGAGACTATCAATCTCGAAATTTTAGCATTCAATAGTCTTTCCTTCAAAAGTTAATCAACATCGACTTTTTACTATTTCGTATCCTTATGAGAAAAAACTATCCTATACAAGTTGTGCTTGTTTTCGTCTCGATAAATCATTAAAAATTTTTTATAAATTATATGAAAGAAAAAAAACTGAACACTCTATAAGATGGTAAAAAATATATATAACATTTTTAAAGATTTTCATTAACATAACGCAATTAAACATGACATTCCAAATCAACATCAAAAACTACATTGAATGAAATACATATTAGAGAATTTTTTTTTTCGTGAGAAAAACTGATCCTTAAGGAACTACGGGGTCAATATTTAAATAAAATATAGCCGTGAGGAACCACAGGTAAATTTTTCATGCGAAAAAATTTTTCTAAAATATACTTGATTCAATGTAATTTTTGACGTTGATTTCGAATGTCATGTTTAATTGTATCATGGCAATGAAAAACCACTAAAAATGTTATGTATTTTTTTAATCATTTTATAGAGAACGAAAAGCTGTATAAAATTTAATCGGAACTTTTTGATTCTGAATCCGAACAAGTGATATCAAATGAATATTTTGCGCCCATCGAAAGAGTAATTTTTCATTTATGTTGGTCTTATAAAACTTGATTCTCTTAATGCTGTGTTATATCAAAAAAGTTCATTTTGTTCAGTTTTTTCCTTAGTATAATTAATAAAAATTTGAATGATTCATCACAACGAAAATGAGCACAACTTTTAAAGGATGTGTTTTTCTGTTTTTTCTTATAAGGAGATTTGATAGTGGTAAAAAGCCAGGGTCAGAGGCCGAAACGTAGGGAATATCTTGTTTCCTGCTTCGACTTTAGTTGGTTTTTTTCGTTGCCTCACCACGTCTTTATAAGATGTTTATGTCTTTTGATCATATGAATTATTTGACTACATATTGCAAAAAATAGGCATAGGAACTAGGGATCTACGGGTCCTTGTAGACCCGGTCGGGTCAGGGTCCAAAGTTTTATTTTATTTTTTTGTAGAGTTCAGGCCCATAATTTTATTTTTTGTTAGACCCGCTGCTTACCAGATGAGAAATACAGCAACAAGATGTAACTGTACGTTGAATTTTTTTCTAAGAGTAGCGTATAAATAGCTGCAATCTTGATCCTTCGTGTTACGAGTTGTTATCAGCGAGATAGCAACGTGATGGTATGACCACAGAACGGAACAAAAGAATAATCTCCCTTCGCATGGAATCGAACCATGCATCTCCTACTTTCCGGGCAGTCGTATTAACCACTGTACTAGAAAGGAGCACTCATTATTCGTTTCGTTCCGTCTTATGTTCAAAGGGGAACACTTCAAACATAACACTTCGCTCGTTCATGTATACGAAGGATGACAGGTATTGATGGAAAAAAACCTCGTGCTTGGATCCGGCTGGGTTCAAATTTTAAGCTTTGTTCGGGTTCGAGTATATAAAAATGTGGACTTGCAGTTCCCTAACAGGGGCACAAAAACGATATAGCTCGAGATCAAGCAATCTTTTACTTTGTTATTCTCCATTGAATGAAGAAATAAAATATTATTAACAGTTGTTGGGTCTAAATTACATCTTCTTTGGTTGACAACTTCATCTGCTACCAAAAATTCTCTTTCGACGGCAACTGAACTGTATGGGATTGAGTATATGCGATATGCTGATTGATCTCACCCTGTCGTAAGACCTTTTCTCGCTTCATTAATGCTAACACTCTTGGGTTAGAGATTTTAGACATCAATGCATTGATTGCACAAATATTTTTTTTTATCGAGTGTTTCGTATACTGGACGATCACATGATTGCTTTCTTAAATTTTTTGTTTTAGTTATCATTAGATTTAACATTTCAAGAAGCTGTACGTGGTTGTAATAAAGATGTAAAGGTTCGCATTGTTGATACATGTCCAACTTGTAAAGGTACTCGTTGTGCACCTGGTACACAACCACAAAAATGTCGTACGTGTAATGGAACTGGTATGGAAACAATTGAAACAGGTCCATTTTTTATGCGTGCAACATGTCGATCATGTCATGGTCGACGTGAAACAATTCCAAAACCATGTGTAGAATGTTCAGGAAAAGGAAAAACGGTGCAAAAAAAAGCTACAACAATACCAATACCAGCTGGTAAATAAATTATTGTATTTATTTTTATTAAGATAACGATTTCTTTGAGAAGAAATATTTTTTTTATTATTTTTTTTTTTCGTTTTTCATTAGGTGTGGAAGATGGGCAAACAATGAGAGTTAATTTAGGTTCATCTGAAGTTTTTGTTACATTTCGAGTTAAATCAAGTGAAAGATTTCGAAGAGATAAAGAAGATATTCATAGTGAAGCTAATTTATCAATTGTTCAAGCTATCCTTGGCGGTGCAATTAAAGTACCAGGAATTTATGAAGATCATGTTTTACAAGTCAGAGAGAGAGAGAGTGAATTTTCTTTTTGTCATCATTAAATAGATAATTTAAATTTTAGATTCCACCTGGTACACAATCCCATCAACGTTTTCGTCTTATTGGTAAAGGTATAAAACGTCTTCATAGTCCAGGAACAGGTGACCATTATATTCATGTGAAAATAAAAGTTCCTACGTATGTTAAATATGAATTTTAGTTTTTTTGAGAATACCTTTTTTGATTTTTTTTCCTATAGACGATTGACAACTGAACAAAAAGCATTAATATTATCATTTGCTGAATTAGATAAAGATGTTGATGGAACAATTAATGGTTTAACACAAACAAAATCTGGTAAAAAAGAAAAACTAATTTGAAATATTATTTTCTATTAAATTTTTATTTTTTTTAAGGAAGTCGAGTAATCAATGAAGATGATTATCCTTTATTAAAATCAATACGACAAGTATTATCTAATTTACCACTTGGTAGTAAAAAAGTAGCTGATACAATTGAAGAACGAGAAACCGATACAAAACGTAGTTCAACAGCTAAAAAAAAATCAAACAACAATTAGTTTATGTGTTGTGCCAGATTAAATTTTTTTTTTCGTTCTTTTCTTTTTGTTAACTTTACAGAATGCTTTTTTGTTAAGAAAAAAAAATAACATAGTAATAAACGTAAATCTGGCAATGAAATTTTAATTGAAATTCCATTAAAAGTATTAGATCGAATTTTTCTTATTTGTTATCATCGTATTCTAATGTATATGTTTCAATTATTAATTCTATTTAAAAAAAAGCTTGTCAACGCAGTCCCTTTGAAGGATATAATATGGAATTCACATGTGTTTTTTTAGCCTGATTATATCAATACAAAATACGTAAAATAAATAATCTCTGGCAGACTGTGGTTATTTTTCAAGGGTAATCGATTGCAAGTGAAACAATCTACAGTTTGAATAGAAATTTTTTCTTTTTTTACTGACGCTCTATTTTTTTTTTGGCTTTTTTGCTAATCCCTTACTGTTTTACATTTTCATATTTCGTTGTGCTTAATTTAGCAATATTATTATTATTCTAATCATTGGTTTAATTATCAAAGAAGTCTGTTGTGCATATCTATTATATCCACATGAGGTCTCAATACACTACTATATGTCTCAATAAGTTCACAAACACTGATATTGATTATTTTTCGAAGTTATAACTTGAGGCAGTTCACGTTTTTTTATGCTGATCATATGACGATTCTGGCAGATCAATACATAATTGCTTATCATCCTTGATCTCTTGGATAGAAATTTTTTATCTCCACAAAAATAAAAAACTGAACACAAATGTTTTTCAACTATTGAAATTTCGAGAAAGTAAATAATCTAAGTCTTATTATTAATGACGTTCAGCGTCTCTTTTTTTTTGCTTGCTAAGGAATTCTAGGAAAGAAGTCTGATGCTTGTTGCCTTCGATTGTAATGGACACTTGTCCCATGACTGTTCGCCTTTACCTCCTCTCCTTCTACCATTGCTGGAGCCTAGGAAGGAGAGGGGAACCGGAAAAACCTGCATTTAAACTTACATTCAATATTTTCTTCGAAACAAAAAAAGCACATATGGGTTTCACAAAACAAATGAGTTTTGAAGACATCAAATAATCATTTTTTTTTTTTTCATAGTTCATATTACTTGTCTATCTATGTACTTTAGTATTGAATAGTAATAAAAGGAAAGTTTTCTTGAAATGGAATTTTTATTTATTCCAAAAAATGAACGTCTTAACAATTTAGCATTGAGCAGGCGCTACATGTTGTGGAAATTGTCCCATATAATTTCCTGGTGGGTCATAATTACAAACAACAATAGCTCTACGTCCTCCATTGCCAAAACCAATACCAACACCAAGACGTGTGGAACCTTTCCATACAACTTGTGTAAAATGACCAGTGGCACCTGAAAAACCAGGTCGACCAAAATTATAGTCTTCGATTTCATCATACCATGCTTGAGTTGCTTCATTTCCTAAAAATATAATTGACTAATTAAAAAAAATTGATTTAAATTAAAAGTAAAATTTCTTAACCATGTAGATTTGCCAGTGGTACTGAACTACTCGACATATAAAGATTTTCTCCATAACCATTATTTGAATGTTGAAAACCATTTGTTGCAGCAAGATAATCAGCATAGTCTTGTGCTATTTTATTCAGATTACTATCAAGTCGAAGTGGTTGAGCACAATGACGAGCTCGTAATGCATTGTGACGTTGTAATGTTTCATCTTGAAATTTAATTTGAGCCGGTGTGAAAGCGTTTGCTACAATAAAAATATTTTTTATTTTTGTTTTTATCTATTTTTACTTAATTAATTTTCATTTACCTGACACAATAGCAAATACAGCCAAAGCTAATGCTAGAAGTTGCATCGTAAATTTCAATAAACTGTTTAAGAAAAAAGAAAGAAACAAAATAAAAGAATATTAATAATAGTAAAACTTACATGTACTTTTGGTAATAAAATGGAGTGATATTGAATCGATCATTCGTGATTTTATATACTATTGAAAATGGGTAACCAAATACTCTTAATACTTTATTTTTAATTATCAAAGAGCAAACATACTCTTAAAGATTAACCATCAAAACAATGGTTTCCGAATACTTAAAAGATTATTTTTGTTTTTTGTTGATACTTCGATTAAGGGACCCCCTCCTCAAAAATCGATCTCAGCTCCGGAACATCGAGATAGCATGAAACTTTGGGGATATGTTGGGGGTGTAAAAGTACGTCTGTGATAAAATTTTCAGCCTCCTATCCTGATGTATTAGGTAGATACGAACCAAACAAGGGTCGAAAAATAGCTTATCGCATCACCAAAAATTCTCTATAGGTGTTCATTCAATTTGGCTCATTGCTTTTTCGTGTGAAAGAGCATGTCAGGATGCAGTGCCTCTGAGGGCTCTTTTTTTTTTATTCTTATCTTTATGAAGGAAAACAGGCTTCACAAGTTCAATCACTCAAAAATCCCTCACAAAAATCATGCTTATATTATAAAGTCGCTTTTCAATATAATAATAAGAAAGCTTTATCAAAAAAAGGGCCCTCAGAGGCACTGCATTCTGACATGCTCTTTCAAACAAAAATAAATATTTGACTTTATATCGGATTATAATTGATTTTTGTTGGTGATGCGTCGTTCGACTACCATTTTGAGAAAAAAAGAAAAAGATTTTTGGATTTTTTCAAAAACCGCTGGTTTTTCGAATAGGGGTTGTTAAAAATCTTGAACGTTTTTCGAAAAAAAGGAGGTATCGAAGAAAAATTTTTATCGTTTATGAAAGAGCAAATGACAGGCTATCTCCCCATGTATTTATCTCAATCTTGACCATTCTGAAAAAAAATTAACTTTTTTGAAGAAAAGGGCCCCCTTAATCTTCAAAATATATTTTCAATTAACTAAGGTATCAAATATATTCCAGGCATTGTTTAGACGATCTTTGTAGGTTAATTTCTATTTTCATTATCAATTGTTATTTGTCATTAAAGCTCGGTATCACATTCCGAAACTTGATTCCCAACTCCTACTCTGACGGAGACGGAATCGAAGTCGCAAAAAGAATACTTTTCAGTGTTAGAGTGATTAAAAAAATTGTTTTTCTCAGTCAGTCTCAAAATAACATCAGTAGAATAGTCAAGGTTTTAGTCTTGCATAGTATGAACTTTATCCTTTATATGTTTAGTAATAAACAAAATATATACAAAAATATTCTACTTTTTTAGTTTTATAAGTTTCCAGAGAGAAAAATCATATTAAGATGACTTTCATACAAAATAAATAACAAGAAAAAAAAAGTGAATAAAATGGTTTACATATGGTTGAAATACAACAAAAAACTTTTCAAACTTTACCGAAGTCAAAAAGTTTGACTTGGTCAAACTTTACTTTTCACTAATGAATATGATTTGAAAGACAGAAGTCAACGAACAAATTATTTCATATTTTTCAAGAAATCAAATCACTGTGTTATCCATCGGTCAAATGAAAAAAATACTAATTCGATGCTAAAATACTTCAAAAAAATTTTTTTTTTTCTTTTATTCAATGTGCTGAAAAAGAAATTCGTAGAGTGCATTTGTTCAATTCATTTTCAATACAGAATTAAATTAGTTTACAAGTGTTAATTAAAAAATTGATTTTCATAAATGGAGAACAAGTCAAACAAATCTTTTATTTGGTTCATTGGATATTAGGTCTCAGTTTAAGAATTAGTTTCATCATAGGTCAAATGACTTCCGGCAAGTACTATTTCAAATTACTTTTTAAATATTCTTAGAAATTAAATATATAATAATTAAACAAATCTATTGATCAATAATAATATTGAATTTTCTTTTAAATATATTCTACCGAACGAATTCATCAAAATAGAAATCACTAACCATGTGTCTTGTCTACTATTTTCTCTCTTTTTATTATATCGATTCAATCAAATACGACTGTAATGTACACACAAATCAATGCCTGGATAATTCTTTTTCATTTAAGAAAAAAGAAAAAGAAGAAAATCTAGAAATACTAAATGTAAACATTCTCGTCTATATTCATCATATTTCCATCTTTATCGATACCGATCAGTTCATTGTACATAATAATCATCGATATTTGTATAAAAGTACAATGAGTGAATCAAATTATTGTTCATCATCACCGATTCGTATACATTTTTCTGATGTAACAAATAAAAATTCTATTATTGATGATGATTGTCGATGGAAGTTACCAAGTGGTAAATTAATAAAAACAAAAACCAAAAACCAAAAAAATTTCTTCTAAATCAAATTGAATTATTTTATGTCTTTGTTTTAGCTGCACCAATAATAACAATTGAAAATGATGAAAATGAAAATGATGCATGGAATGAATATCGACATTTATTTGAAACAAATCATTCACATATGTTAAATCCATCATCGATTGATAATTATTTTCTTCGACATAGTAGTGCTAATACAAGTTTAAATGAATCAACATCATTTGAACCATTAATTGATAATCATGATGATATTTTTTCAATAATTGAACAAGCTGGTATTACATTTGGTAAGTGAAAAAGAAAACTGATTTAAAAATGATTTTGTTTTTTTTTGTTAAATTTTTTTAGATGCATTAACTGGCTCATCATCAGTAGATTTACTTTGTAGTACAAGTGGTTATCATTCATATGAACCATCGCCATTTAATCATCGTTCAAAACGATCATCAGTACTTGATCCATCTGCAGCTGAATTTCATATGGAAACAGAATTAGGTTTAATATCTAATAATCAATCAACAAAACGATCTTCATGTCAAAATGATCAACAAAATCGTCGAACGTCACGATCACAAAATCATGCTGCACAACGTATTTCTACTTCATGTAAATATTATTAGAAATGATTTTGTTTAATCGGGTTCCTTTTTCTTTTTTGTTTTTTTTAGATGAATATAAATTTGGTGGTTATGGTCGTGGAATTAATGAATTTCTTGAACCAAATGGTATTACTTTTCTATCCGATGGTACTATTGCAGTTGTAGATACAAATTCAAGTCAAGTTAAATTATTCGATCCTGTTCGTAGAGAATGTATACTTAAATTTGGTCAAGCAGGCACAAGACCTGGCGCATTACTTTATCCATATCGTATTGCTGTTTTACCAGGACATGATTTAGTAAGATTTATTTTTATTCTATATAATAAATGTTTATAAATCTTTTATAGCTTGCTATGGTTCAACGATCTCCACGACCAATGATACAAATATTTGATCGAAATGGTCAATTCATTAGTCGCTTCGGAAATGATCTCGAAAGTCCACGTGCTATTTGTATTGATCAACAAGGACGTATTATTGTTATTGAATCAAAAATTATGAAAGGTAACAAAAACAAAGCATGTAATTTCAAAACGAGATATAGCTATATAATGAGAACCAAGACACATCAGAAAATTAAATCTTAGGTCAAAGAATGTAATAGATAATTGTTTTCATATATATATATATATATATATACATAAAAAATTAATAAAATCAAAATTCAAGGTAATTATTGACTGAGATTAATTAATCCGAACAAGCTTAAGAAATCTTTAGACTTCATATGTAAATAATATGAAATTATTTTATTAAGATTATGAGAAGTGAAAGGGTATCTATAAAAACTGCAGATACCTACGAACAACGCCAAAGCTGCAAAAAAATGATACAATTCGAAATGAATATCATACGAACAGTCATTCCAAGCCGCGCTTTTTGTATTTAACTGGGATATAGCCTTTTTGAGGACGTGAACACCCACGGCACTCACGAACATTTCAAGGACACTCATGGTTACTGTAGTTTTTATACAAGAGGTTTTACAATGAATTATTAAAGTACCCAACGATAACTTTTGAGTACGCATAAAAACTGCGAATTGCGCAAACATTCATTATTACCTTGGTTTTAATTGTAAAAGATAACGATAGTTTCCTTGATATTTATGTGTTGAATATCTTGTATAATTAAAAATCAAAGTAATCATGAGTGTTCGTGCCCACAAGGAAAAAATTATACTCCAACTGGAAACAAAAAGCATAACCTAGAATGTGTGTTCGTATGATACTCGTTTTGAACTGTATCCTTTTTTTGTTGATTTCGTCACGTCCATTGTTTTTATAGGTATCCAAAGAGAATTGAATAAGTATCGAAGGTAAAACCTAAAAAGTCAAATGTTGAAAGTTCCAATCATTTCTTACCAACCGATCGAATTTTAGTAATCTTTATACTTTTCGACAGAAATTACACGACTTGTGACTAAAACTCATTGGATTTAAATTTCGAACGAACCCAAAAAGTTCTAACTGAGACTCTGAAACTTGCTCTTATACATATTTAATGAAAAAATATGAAAAAACAAATTTGTCTCATGTGAATTTCTAATATGGCAAATATAATTTTTCTTTTTTTTTTAATTTGTTGATGTATCGTTCATTTGAAATTTTTATTACTATAGTTCACATTTATGATGCAACATCGGGTCGTATTTGGGGTCAATTCGATTTACGTGATCATTTAAGTTTTCCGACAAGTGTCTGTGTCAATGATCGACATGAACTTTATGTTAGCGATAATGAATCTCATTTTGTACGAGTGTTTGATTATAATGGAAAACATTTGAAAAATATTGGTGCTGGTATATCTTATCCGATAGCATGTCGTATTGTAAGAAATATTTAATTTTATTAATTTTTTTTTCTTCTTTATTTTTCTTTTTTTTGTTTTACTTTTAGAACCAACCACGACGTGAACTTATTGTTGTTGATAATCATGAAAATTTTAATATAACAACATATGATTATGATGGAAATAAAAAATATTCACATTATTCAGTAAGATTTTCGAATTATTTTTTTTTTCTTCTCTTTAAAAATTTTTCAAAAATATTTTTTTTTGTGATTTAGTTAATGAAACATTCTCAATGTTTCGATGTTGCTGTTGGATATAATGATGAATTAGCAATGGCATCTAAAGATTATAAAATTTATGTTTATAAATTAGGTGAAGGTCTTGATACGTTAACAAGCAGTGATATAAATCATAATTATTGTTAAATTAAATTTTTTTTTTTTCTTTGTTCTTACAATGATCTTTAATTATTATCTTGTTCGTTCCTGTGTGTTGTACAAATGAATTTATATCTACCGCTTAATAATATTATAAAAAAAAATAATACATATATAAATTCTCGTTCTTCACCTTTGTGGTAGACGAATTGATTTTTTTTTCTTCTTCCTATTAGCATAACTTCATTTGATTTTTTTTTGCCCTTTTCGTTTATTTTTTATTTGTTATAACTTCAACATTCAAACGGATTAATTTCTAATTTTTTTTTTTTCCTCACGTTTTTTTTTGTTGTACAACACTTCTATTTGACTATGCATATATTAATATAAATTGGAATATGACGTGCGAGTTAAAAAAAAAAAAGAAAGCAATCCTTTATTTAACAGGAAACTTGTCTTTTTTTTTCTTTTTGCATAAAATACATTTAAAACTACAGTAATAACTTTGATTAAAGGAAGCACTCTGATTAATGATTCGAAGAGAAAATGACGATTAATGTTTACTTTGAATTAAACAATGGATTTATTTTAATAAATAGAAATTTTCTTGTGTAGAATAGAATTCACTATTTTCTTCTATCTCAAACGTGAATAAATTGAACTAAATTGCATAATTTGTACGTTTAATAGAACTCCATCAAACGGTATTAATGACATTATTTAATTTCAATGTAACTGTCTTCTATGTAAATATGGTTTTTTTCTTCCTTGAAAAAAAAAATATATATGATAATATAATATTCATTTTGTCTATATGGTAATTCATCAAATCACGGCAGGTAATCAGTTTATGTATTCATTGCCTTGGCACATCAAATTTACAGTCAAAAGTAAAATACGTTAAATATTTCATTAGCTAATTAAAAATTATCGATAATATAATTCCCTAATCAAAACCCTGGATGTTCTCATTAAAAAACAAAAGTAAATCTAAACTTTATATGATGCCTAGTAAATAGTTATTTACAGGTATTTACTGGCTTAATTACAAAATATATATCAATCTGTCTCCGCATACCTTTTTTTTTCTATATACTTAATGATAAGAAAAAAAAACATGTTTTTTTCTTTCATAGAATCCATAGTAATCGATGTGTTGTTTGTCGTATTACATTTGAAGTTTGTTAGTTGCCTGTATATGATAGTATTGTAAGATAAAATTGTGCCAAAAGATCAAAAAGAACAATATTGTTTTCAAATTATTTAATATAACGTTTCAATGAGAAAATGCATTATTGTGTTACAATTATTGGATTAGACAATTGTGCACATAAGGTACATTCGTATGTATATATCCTTGAAACCTATTCAAAAAAATATTTACTTACGATCAAACAGCAATTTATGTGTGCACAAGCAAATATATAAATCAGTTCGATCTTTTTTTTTACTCTATTTTCGAGAAGATTGTTAAAAAAAATGTTAGTAATGTAAGAATTCAAGAGGCGTAAATGATGCGAAGTTTTTTTTTCTTGTATTTTTAATTCAATGAGAAAAAGATAAAATAAGAAGAATGTCCTTTTAGTTTAGTTCTTTTTCAAGGAAAATTATCTCAAAAGCAAAAGTGGATATCATATTCCGTTTATGATGAAGGTAAATTTCATATACATATATATATATATATATATATCGTTAGAAAAAAAAATGTATACAAGGAAAAAAAATGAGTTTTTGTCTCATTACCAACAATATAGAATAACAGTTAAAAGTATGCAAAGAAAAAAAAAATATTCGCCTGGAAGTTTTTTCAGGTAAATAATTATAACATAAAAATATAGAACTATGAATTAAATTGTGTAAGGTCTTTTTTTTTCTCGGAAGATATAATAATTATAGATTCATTGTGCAAATAGAAAAATTTTCATAAATTAACCTTGAAATTTGAGACGAATGATTGCAGCTTTAGAAATTGTCGATGTAGTTTTGTTATTGCGCGATTAATTTTCATAAACAACATGAGTAACCTATATTTTATTTTACTTTGTTTTTTTTTTTTTATGAAGAAAAAAACAAAATGAATGGTATGCCAAGATGTTAAAAACGAAAGAACACGTTTTAATTAACCATAAGAAAATTATTCTTTTACAGAAAAAAGAAGGGATTTTTCACAAAAGAAAAGGGAAAGAAAAAAAAAACCGAGGTGTATTTAAGTATATATAGAAACCGCAAAAAAAAAAATCAAGACTATTTGCTTCGGATCAACTTTTATATAAGCGACAATATTGTCGGAGAGTTGTATGTGGTTCTTTTTGTTTCCATGTACGCCCGTTATTAACCACTGCTTATTGTAAGTTGCACATATTTGCGTTCACGTCGTCAAATTTTTAATTCAATGCCAAACCGAGAAAAGAGAAATAAAGTGTTTATGCGTTTGTTTTCAACAACAGCCATTGAGAAAAGAAAAATGTCATATTTTTTTCTTCTCCCTCTTTCATAATTTTTCTCTTAGAATTTTTTTTCCACACTTTTCAGTCATTTTTTATTAGTATGTTTACATACGAAGTATTCGATTGTATATAACTTATATATTTACATTATTCGAGGTTCAAATGTATTCGGTTAAAAAAACATATTAAATTACTTTTCATCTTTAATTATTATCTGCAGATTAATTTTCAACGAGATCAATTCTTCTAATGGGAAGCTTTGTATGGGATAATCCGCGTTATGGTCAATGTTATAATAATCGGCCTTTATCTGTTGCTTTAACAGAATCATGTGGATCGGACATATTCCCTCGTGTTGAAAGTGATTTTGCATTAATGTGTCATCCTCAAAATTTTTTATCAGGTCGAAGATTTCGACGAGAGTTTTTCAGTATGTTTTAATTTATAAAAGAAAAAAGAAAAACATGGAAATATTAATCTGTTTTATTTGAAAACACATAGATGTATATCATCCAAATGCTTATTATGGTTCATGCTGTTGTTTACCATCAATGCAATGGGGACCAATGTGTCATTGCACTTCAAGAGATGGATTCGTTAGAAATTTAGGTAAATGTTAAACAAACTGAATTCATAATCAATTATTGGATTGAGATAAATTAGGATCGGTAACAGTAGAAGAACATGAATTTCAACCTGTGGTTAGATGTGTTCGTCCAGTATCACCAATTATTCGAGAATTAAAAGTACGTCGACGACCTTCATCGTGTGTTGATCTTCGAAATCAAGAAACGAAAGAAGTTGATATACGTCGTGAAGAACGTTATGAATATCATTATAATTATGATTTACCAAGTAAACTATTGTTTTTATTATTTTTCTTAATTTTTATTTTATTTTTTATTGAATATTTCTCGAAGAACGACCACAAACACCACCAAGACGAGGTTAATACGTGAAGAAAAATGTTTTAGAATTTCTTGGTTTTTGTTTTCTACTAATTTAATTTAGTTCGTCCAGTGACAAGAGATACCGGAACAGCAACTATTAACGTTCCCAAACGACCTTTAACTATGACAGGTAATATATATATATATATATATATACATTTAATATTTTATTTCTTATTGATATTTACTTATCAAATAGAAACTGAAAGATTTGATCGATATGAACAAGAAGAAAAAATAAAAAAAGATAAGATTACAACAGGTTAGAAAATTAATACAATTCATTCGGTAAATAATTTCTTTTTCCAATAGAAAAAACTCAAGTTACTCATACAGTAGTAGAAGAGCCAATACGACGTTATTATGAATGTAAGTAATATTTATATTTTTGGTTTTTTTTTTCTTACTTGATTAATATACCTATTAAATGTTTTCATACATATTCTTGATCATAGATTATGATACTTGCGATCAACAATATCAACAAGCATGCAGAAAAGCACAACGCAAAGATTTTATACAACGAATGAATGCTCAAAATGGTAATACTTCCTTTTTTTTTTTACATTTCATTTCAATGGCATGTGTTGATAATTTGTTTTATTTGCTAAAAAGATTTATTTCTTCTCAGACACAAAAAAAAATAGTACTGAGTTAAGTATAGTAAATTTTGATAAATCATAGTCGATATAGGAATGACAGGAATTTAGATGTTAATCAATCTGTCAACACAAAAAAGCTTGCCATATTTCTGTTTCTCTCTCTCAAGAGAGAGAGAGAGAGACATGTTGATAAAGATATTTGATATCAAATCTTTATGAATTATCAGTATTAGTTTTAACAAAGGAAGGCCTCGAATGAACTAATCAGCTTTTGTATATATCATGTAAATACTAAGGAGGAATTAATATTCTAAGAAGAACTCACTTTCAAATTTTGATTTAAAACTTTGCATAGTAACAAGTCTTAAAGAGAATAGTTTATTGTAAAAGTTTTAGACCATTTGATTTGTTCCTATCCAAAAATAAGAAGATTGAATTTGTCGATGTATACAAGCGACGAAAAAGGCACATTTTTACCTTAACCGTAGTAATTACAAAAAAAATCTGAAAATTTTACAATAAACTATTCTCGTTGATATAGGTCATTGTGCAAAGTTCCCAGTCGAAATTCAAAAAATGAATTTTCTCAATATCGGAGAAGCCCGAATCCCGTCCCGTGCGACATTTTGAAAATAAAAAAGGATTCAGGACTTGAAAAAAGTTCGTCTCGCAGGGTTCTAGGAATTATACAGCATTGACTTGCAGAATACTACAGAAAAGCAAAATCTTCGCAACAATAAGTTAACCGATGACGATTGATCTTGTTTCCTTTGTACACGCCTTTATGAAAAGGGAACATCATATACTCATCACTCGGTCATCGGACTGGAGGATAGTGCCTAACGGTTGTGCATAGAGTCTTACAGGGCAGTTTCAAACCTATCCGGTGAGATATTCAAGATAGTTTGTATCAATGATCATCATAAATGTATCTTTCCTCCTTTCAAAAGCCGAAGAACGAATTTGAATTTTGTTTTTTATGTACAGTAGGGAAAAAAGAGACAATCTCTTTTAACTTTTCATACAATATTCATTTTAGGTAAAACGCAATCATTCAATACATTAAATACATTTTCGGATTGTGGAACAAATTACGTTACTCTTCAATCAGTACCAAAATCATGTGAAACAGATTATTATACTCTTCAATCAGTACCAAAATCATGTGGAACAGATTATGTTACCTATCAATCAGTACCAAAGTCATGTGGAACAAATTATGTTATCCATCAATCAGTACCAAAATCATGTGAAACATTTGTTACTACTACGGGATCAAACTCTTCTCAAGGTTTCACATGTGACAGAACAGCACCATTCACTGTTGAAGAAAGTTCTATAACACGAAATTATGTTAATACAACTTAATTTAATTTTATCGTCATCATTTTACAAACGAACAATTTTCTTCTACATTTCAAACTTTCGATTATTTCTTTTTTTTTCTTCTTCTTCTTTTGTTCAGATATAATCATTCTTATTCTCTTTATACACTATAATCCGAAGCATTAAAAGTACGTCTTCGAATTTTACTTTTTTTAATTTCATGATGATGTTTTGTTTTGTTTTTATATACTATAGACTGATATGGATTGGTCATATATTTACTATTATAATCTTATAATGGTCCTCTACCTATACTGTATATCTTAGATTTTTATCTTTATGTATATGTGTAAGTATAATTTCAACTGTAGTAGTTTTCAACATTTGATTCTCATTTGCACATTACACTTTGTTTCACATATTTCTTTTTTATCATACATATACATGACACTGTGTACTAATATATTGCGAGATAAATTTTTATATTATGCTTTCTTTCTTGTGTTATGATATATAGAGTTGACCTGTTCGTATAGAGAGACCATAGCTACTATACCTTCAGGTGAGCTCTATGTCATAATACAAGAAAGAAAGTGTAATATAAAAATTTATCTCGCAATATATTAGTACACAGTGTCATGTATATGTATGATAAAAAAGAAATATGTAAAACAAAGTGTAATGTGCAAATGAAAATCAAATGTTGAAAATCACTACAGTTGAACTTATACTTACACATATACATAAAGATAAAAATCTAAGATATACAGTATAGGTAGAGGACCACTATAAGATTATAATAGTAAATATATGACCAATCTATATCAGTCTATAGTATATAAGAACAAAACAAAACATTATCATGAAATTAAAAAAAGTAAAATTCGAAGACATAATTTTAATTCTTCGGACTATAATAAGCAGCCTACTAGAGGGGAAAGATAAATATTGTAGATAGATTATATTTTACTTATAAAAAGAAAAAATTTACTCTGCATCATTTATATAAAAAAAAACACAACATATTGAAAACAAAAAGAACAAATATTTGATTATTATGTTCTATTTTCATGGCTTCATGCATCCATTCTGTCAAATCAATTGATGTGATTCTAGTGGTTGTTGTCACAAAATGAATGTCATTCTGCGTAGTTATCAAAAAAAAATTAAATATTCATAAAGAAACCTAGGCAAAACAACCTATTTTATTAATAGTTTTTTTTTCTATATACAATAAAAATTCCTATTGTCTTTTATGAAAAATCATTATTCATATATAAAATAAATAGGGCATAATAATTCTAACTTACTAATTTATTAAAAAGAATGCATTTGAAATGAATATTCTTACTTGATCTCAACAATTCATTCATTCTTTTTCAAAAGAGAGAAACAAAATATCGGTTTTAAAAAATGTAATTATAATAAATAGATGATGACTATTTCAAGAGAACTTCATTCTAGAAAAAAGAATGTTATTTTCTACAAGAAAAGGTATGAGAAAACCGAACGTTGTTGAATTTTTTTTTTCTATCATAATTGTTCATTCATTTTGGTTATGATGCTTGAAACCAATCAGAGATCTCGTATAGCCTTAAAAACATGAAGACTATTATTCTTCAGATCGATTTCAGTAGTAAAGCGCCGGAAATCGATAAAGCATGGAAGCAGTTTTCCGGACCGGAAAGTCTTCGAGTTTTTTTCGGTGACTTCTCAGCCAACTTCAAGTTCTTTCCGGCAGAAGACGGCCGTAAATTATTGGAAAAAATTTCGAAGACTTTCCTGCTCGGAATACTGTTTTCATGTTCCATCGATTTCTAATATTCTCCTGCTGGATACGATAATTTTTCTCACATCTTTTCGGTCGGTTTCAGTAAAATCTGATTGTTTTCAGAGATCGGAATCATCGACCTAAACCATTCTCATTTCAAACACAAGTGACAAATAACGTCTGTATCAATTGATCTGGATGCTTCACTCTGAAGTAAATCGGTTTTTGTTGTATTCCTCTCAAGTGCATTGTCCAAAACCAGTGAGCTCCATGCACAAATCGCTAGATTAAACTTGCTCGACTATTGAAAGAAATAGTAAAAAAGAATGAAGCTTAACAAAATAATACAATGAGAACTTGGTCTCAATTAAAGATAATGAACGTTTTGGGCTTTTACTATGCCTAAAACTGTGCATTTTATATAACATTGATTTGATTAAAAGTCAATCTTACAAAATGAACTTTTCCGATTTTTTTCTTCTAGGAAATAACACATGTTCAGTATTAGCAGTCTATTAAAATTTCGAAAACAGCTATAAAGATTGAATATTGTGATCAGTGTTTTCTCTAGGTTTTGTTTTTCGAGTGAACAATTGAAATTTTTGGAAGTGCTGCCGGCCAAAAAAATTTTTGCCACATTGCAAAGGTACACGCAGATTCTTGTTTATTTTTTTTCACAATACCATTACACTTCTTCAGTTACCAATACAATGTGAAAAAAAATACTTCGAAAGAAAATCACTTCAAGAAGAAAACAATAAATCAAAATTAAATCTTTTAGGTCATTATCTAAATCAGATAGTCCTTTCATTGATATTCTCATTAATTATTCTAAATGCTCTGTCATTAAACGATTTCGCAGACCAGTTAAGATTTTATTCATTGTACTAAAATCACGTTCTACTGTTGTTGTACTGATTAGTGCACATAAAAATACTTCAGCAACTAATAATACACCCCTAGGCAAAAGCCTTTCCCTCTCCTCTCTCCATCATTTTTTTTGTATATTGAGCTTGTTTGTTCTCAAGTCAGTGCTAATTACAAGGATGGCTTGAGTACTTGATTTCAGTATCATGTATCATTGACTACGATTTGGTCCGATAAACATTATACGACTTTCAGTATAATCAATTGCTACTAGAAATGACGTAGTTGACAAAATATTTCATGACTGAGTGATTTCTTGTTTCGATTTATTTTGGATGTTTTACTGGTTTTGGTTTATCTTAATTTGTAGGATCGAGTATACTGTCTCTTAGGTCGAGCTTCAAGTCTCCGACGAAGAGAGTTTAATAAGTTGGAACCAACAAAAAAATTCAGAAAATATTGAAAAAAGAAATAACTTAGTCATGGAGCATTTTGTCACTAGGTTATTTGTAGTGATGGTTGATTATATCGAAAGATCTATAGTGTTTTTCGAAGCAAATCATAATCAATGATACATGATACTAAAATCAAGTACTGAAGCCATCCTTATAATTAGAATTGACTTAAGAACAAACAAGCTCAACATACAAAAAAACCTGATGGAGAAGGTGAGAGGAAAGATTTTTGCCCACGGATGTAATTGTGAATACATGTCTCTTGTCATTCCATTTTTAACTAAATTAATACATTGTTGTCATTGTGTTAAAATTGTAGATGTTTTTGCTATTGTTTTTGTGCAAATCAATATTTGGTTATATAAATAGTATTCATATAACTTAGTTCCATTAATTCCCATTCGGGAAAGACAAACTATATTATCACTGATCTATGAGTGAGTATAGACGAAAGTATCATGAATAAGATAATGATCAATATAACTGGTTTCGACTAAATGTAATAAGGAGCTTTTTACGTAAGAAAAGTAATAAAGTCAATTTAAGACAAGGACGAATAAGGAAATATAAATAAATTAGTTAAGCTATGTAGAGAGTAAATCAATTTAAAATTATCAGCGTCAACAATAATAGGAGAAACACAGGAAGGACGCCCTTCGATACCGTGTGAAAAAGACAAATGTCCATCTAGAAGAATGTTGGAAAGACCGACAGGAAAACAAAGTTTCATACAACTGATGTGCAGAGAATGCAAACATTATCAAATCGTACATCCTTCACTACTACTTGAAACAGACGAAATAAATGCTGTCGATAATGAGAGTGAAAGTGAGAAAGAAAACATCTACTTTTCTTATGCAAACAACTGTATGTTTTCGGGTGGACGAATCGAAATTTCGGGTGAGGGCCGCCTACCCGGCCCACTCATTAGATAAATCACTGATTGTGATCCTAGCAGAACATTAAATGGTGCATCTTTTCAAAAAAGAGATTAACATTTTATCATGTTCCTGGACAGAATTAAATGTAAAACTTTTGCAATACTCGATATTTTTTTTTTCAAGTTCTATATCTATCAAAACCAATGAAAATGGACAATCATATTGTTTAATATGTAAAAAAAAATATTTATTTACCATTCAACTTTATCTAGTGAATTATAATCTTTATCCACTTCTGAATAACTATATGGTAAAATTCACTTCTTAAATACAAACAAGATATATTCTTTTATTTATTTATATATCATTTGCTGTAACATTCAATGATGAATAACATTCAAGTAAACAAACTAATGATTTTGATGATACTATTATTAATCGTTTACGAAACAGAAGTGCTAATTGATGATAAAAAATATGAAAATAATTAGCTATAGCTGTTAAATTTGTTATAATCGATATTTCCATTCAACAGCTATTTTTGTAACAGTTAAAACTGAATCAATATCATCAATACAATATAGATTTGAACACTGTAACTGAGCTATTCAAAAAATAGTTGAGCATTGTGGAATTTCGTCAGTCAAACTAAACATTTAATTTTGTTCAGAACTTGATCGTAATTGCAAATACATATATATATTTATAAACAAGAATAACGTAAAACGTCTTAATAGTTTAAAAAATCATCGATGCTAATGTAATTTTTGTAAAACAGTATTTCCATACAACGAATGCGACAATTAAACCAAACTACTCTCAAAATGGGTAAATGTTCGATAGAGCTCGTTGATTTCTATCTGGAGATATCGTTTTTATTGCGAAAATCAACAACAGAAATGAGCAAAACACATTATAATTTTGGTGACGGAATTCTATTAAAAAAGTACAAATAGTTTATAAACCCATTATCTTAGCTCGTAGTAGAGCTTTCAATAGGTTACTTTTTTCCTGACCTAGTCTGATTCGAAATGCCTGCAGATCGATTGATGTTTCAGGTTTTTCAAAAACGTTTTATTGTATTATTCAGTATTAATGTATCAATCTAGTTTCAATTGTTCACTTAACTTATTTTATATAAAGGTAAGATAATAACAAGTTCCTTGCACGAAATAGCAAATTAAAACAAAGAGACAAACATCATAAATATTTTTTCATAAAAGAAAGGCTTGATTTAACGCAAGATATTTTTGATCATATCAATCTGCTTTACGTAATCGAAAAAATGTAATCATGATAGCAAAAACAACATATCTTTAGAAATACAATGCTGAGGTAAAAGAAAATGTAGGAAAAAAGTGATACTTATAATAGTAGACAGGAGCATTTACATTTGACAATCAATTTTCACAACAGCACGGATACAAAGTTTCCCATTTAATTTTTTTCCATCTAAACAAATTCTTCTGTCAATCTTCCAACGCTCAACTGACGTTTAGTTGAAGCATTTGTCAACGGAATTGAATCAATTTGTCAAAGTACTCTCGAATATTAAGACAATGCATCAACATTTAATTTCCGGAATCAGACCAGCAGCTCTGGTTTGCAAACATCTAATATTTGTCATGAGGTAATATGATCAAAGACTACTTCATATTCTCATTTACACCCCATTGTAGAAAACAGAAATTTAACGAACATATCTTAGTATTTTTTTTCAGCTTCTAAAAAATATTTAGCATTTTTCTAGGGTTAAAATTTACAGTTGACTATAACAAAAGCTAAGATACCGCCGATACTGTTGTTGATTAGATGTGCCATAAGTATTTCGTCAGAAGAGATACAAAGAGATGGCCACTTTGTGTCTTTTATGAGATGATAGACATTGTCGCTATAAATGCCTGATTGTATGAAAGGAAAAAGTCTCAACTGGGATACGAATAAAAGACAAGATATAAGCGTCGCTTATTCCTTGAGGAATTGAGGATAAGCGTATCCGCACACGTTTTTAATTTTTGTTCGAGGATATCCAAAATGCATTAACCATTGTCAGTTATTCAATGATGGAGCAACTGTCATAAGAATTAAGAAAAAACTTCATGCAATCAAAACGAAAACGATATTCGATTTGTAATCATTTCAAAGATAAAAAAACTCTAAATAAATTTTATTAATGTTTAAAACCTGTTTGTAATGATCATTCTGTAAAACGAATTTTTTAAAATTATTCATTCGAAATAAAGAAAAGTTAAGATCCTAATAATCTCTTTATAAGAATGAATCAGAAAATAGTATAATTTCAACAAAAATATCGGTTTAATAAAGAAAACTCACATTATGACAATATATGTCATCGTGTAATCTCTAAAATAGGCTTGGTAATACTAGTGTTAAAGATACATTCGACTTCCATCTTTTACATAAACTTTTGAGTTGGTCACTCTTAGAAAGATTTCATATGTCTGAAATATTCAAGAACAGAAATTCCTCCATTTCATATATACGATCGATGATGTTTTTTTCCAATAGTAGACTGACGAAAGAGCGTTTCTAAGTGTCAAATCGCTTTTTAGTCGGGACTATGTACATCATATAAGTTCTAATAAGCTATAAATAGAGTTCAGATAAATACCTTATATCTGATGAGATACTGTATTTTTTAGTAGAATGCCGTGATTCCTCTTAGGAAAACTGAGTTTCGATATTTCGATCTAAAATTTTGCATAGAAACAAACCTTAACAAGGAAAAACTTATTGTAAAAGTTTTAGACTTTTTGATTGCACCTATTCTGAAATGAGAATATTGAAATTTGTTGTTGTATATTGAACTATTCTCATTAAGGCGTGTCTCTATGCAAAGTTTCAAGTCGAAATACGAAACTCAGTTTTCCTGAGGAAGACCACAGCATTCTGGTATAAAAATACAGCAACTCGGTAGTAATAAACTATTGGCCCGAACTCATTCATAGCTCATTAGAACCTACATGATATATATAATCCCGAGTCAAAAATGATTTTGACACTTACAAACGTTTCCTCATCAGTTTTCTTCACCCTTGAATTCGAATCTAAATTTCAAATAGTGCTTTGATCTTTCTATTGAATCACAAAGAAATAAAATTGTGTTATCATAAAATTTTAAAAAACAAAAGATAAAATGAAACAAACTAAAAATGTCGCCAACACTACAATATCTAACAGCTGATTGATGATGACATCGTTCTCTATACTTCATTGTTTGTTTCTATTTTCCTCCATAAAATATTCTATTTATTTTTAATAATCAATTTTTAATTAATATAATAAAATATTTTATTAAATATAAATAATTATTTTTAAATCTTTCTTATATGAAATTTTAAACATATGATAAGCGCTATGTGCTATTTGAAAAACATGTTTTTTACCCGCCCATGTTAAATGTAGACATGTAAAGAAGTACATCGGAAGAAAGAGAAAAACGTTCGATATAACACTCATTTTTTTTGTTTTGTTTGATAGCAGATGATTTTCTGTATATGTAAGTTTAGTTTTAGAATATAAGATAACAAAATAGCAAATTTATAACAATGATAATTGATTATTATTTTTTCGAAATAGTTTTAAAATTCTTTTTGGTTTTTTTTTATTATCATTGTTGAAATTTTTTTTTATCGGAACTTTTTTTTGGTTTTTTAGATTAATGAAGATAATAAAAATCTATTTCGAAATAAAGAATACTTTTATTTTTCTTTTTTCTTGTTCAATATTCAACATCTCTATTTCGATCATCTGACATTGTTTGCCCCATAATAATTTGATTTTTTTTTTTCTTTCGTTCTGTTTATTTCCCCTTTACTACCCTCATATAGAAATCGTCAGCTTCGTCGTCATTGCTTTTTCTTCTCCTATTTATTCTTTTGCTTCACTATTAGAACGTACGTAGAGAAGGCGAACTTGCGTTCGGCAGTAAACGCTTGTGTTGCAACCTCTTTTTTCTTTTCGTCGACATTGTTGTCTTCTATGTCCTCCATATATTAATAACAACAAAAAGAAAAAACACACACATATATTGATAAACATAAAGAAAATGGGAAAAAAAACTTTTTTTTTGCTTTTCTAGATCTTTCTTGACTCCTTATTCTTGCTGTACAGCAATTTCAAAAAAAAACAAACAAAACTCATCCAATTGCATATATATATATCTATCAATATCTCCGTTTCATTGTATCTTAGCTTTTTCGTAGAATGGCATTAAAACGTATCAATAAAGAATTACTTGAACTTGAAAAAGAGTAAGTTTATAATTAATTAAAAACAAGAAAATTTTCTTCATAATATTCGATTTTGTTTTTAGCCCACCAGCTAATTGTAGCGCTGGTCCTGTTAATGACGATATGTTTCATTATAAGTATTTTCTATTATAAATTTTCATATAATTATGCTTTTTTTTTTGTTTCTACGGCAGGCAACTATAATGGGACCGGGTGATAGTCCATTCCAAGGTGGTGTATTTTTTCTTTCGATCCATTTCCCGGCCGATTATCCATTTAAACCACCAAAAATCACGTAAAATAAATTTTATTTTTCATAGAACTAAAAAAAACAAACAAAGATTTTTGATTTTTTCTTTCAGATTTACAACAAAAATTTTTCATCCAAATATTAATTCAAATGGAGCTATATGTCTTGATATTCTTCGTTCACAATGGTCACCGGCATTAACTATTTCTAAAGTGTTATTATCAATTTGTTCACTACTTTGCGATCCAAATCCTGATGTAAAATTTAAAACAAAAAAATTTTCTTTGTTTTTTGAAAAAGTTTTCTCTTTTTTAGGACCCATTGGTACCTGATATTGCTCGTACATATAAAACGGATAAGGAGAAATATAATGCTGTATGTATATTTATAATTTAAATGATAAGAGATTTTATTTTAATGATTTAATATTTAGACGGCGCGACAGTGGACTCAAAAATATGCCATGTAAAAAAAAATTTCAGAGACATGATCAATTGTGCAACAAATAATCATCAAGAAAAGAGACATAAATAAATTGATATAAAACAACTTTCTCTTTTTTTCTTGTTCGTTTGTTTGTTCCTTTCTTCTTTTTTCAATAGCACACATTTACTTTTTTTCCTTTATGTTTTAAGTTCGCGTCTTTCTTTTTTTTTTTTGTTGTTGTTGGAATGAAGATGGAGAGACATAGAATTTTCTTTTTTTCATTATCTTAACATCTTTTCCTATTGTCTGTGGGTCTGTGTGTATATGTATGTACGATGTTTGTATGTCTATGTTATGAAAGATGAGCAGACAAAAAAAAAAAAACAAACAAACAACAAAGTTTACTAAATAAAAAGTTTATATTATTTCTCAACTATATGATACTTTTACAAAATTATCTGTGTACTTAAATTTTGTTTTTTTGTTTTTTGTTTTTTTTTTTTTGTTCTTTCTTTGCTCATTGTCTTTGTGTGTTTATTGTCTTTGTCTATCTCTCGTTTTCTTTTTGACTAAACAATTTCAACGAAATTCATGTCATGTATTTGCCAACTATTCGAAAGAAAAGAAAGAAAGAAAGAAAGAAAATAACAAACTTGATTGCTTCATGTTTCAATTGTTTTTTTTTTGTCACAAAACGGAAAAAGCCAAAACAATGTCACTACCTTTTTAACCCATCGTATCTTGCTTATAAAGAATACTCCCAGTCTGCCGCTTTTTTTACTAATAGAAAAATAAAAACCATAGTTTTTTTTTTGATTTTTTTCTAGATTTGATTTCAATCGAATTGCCTCAAACATAAATTTCATATTCGAACATGTAAGTAAAATCTATTATGAATATATATCATATCTATTAGTATCAGAGAATTTTTAGAAATAAAACTTCTATGTCATCGCGGAAGTGTATATGATTTGAAACAAGAGTTTCGACACGTTGTAATTGCTAAAACAAAAAAGGAAAAATGAATCATTAAATTACGAAATTTTAGTATTAAAAATGAAATTAATTTCCTATGATGACATTGATCTAATCTTATTTTTTCATTTTGCAGATTGCATTTCATAGAAAGAAAACATTTTGTTTGTCGAAAAAAAAAGAATTTTCTATGAACAAATATTTTTACAACGTATGAATAAGACTGACGTTATACCCTAATGACGTTGCTCTTATTTTCTTTTTATATTACATCAGTCTATTACAGTTAGTTGAAGTTATTAATACACTTCGAGATATTTTATTTTTTTTTAATGAACATTTTTGATTATATTTAATAAGATTAGTATGATGATAGATTATCTTCAAATAGAAATTCTCGAAATATTACCAAAGGGAATATAAGTATGAATTAGTATCTATTTAAAATGGGATTCAATAATAATAATAATAATAATGTAAATCGAAACTTTATTTTTATTTTTTATGAATGTTTACGAATATTTCATAATGTTAATTTAACAATAAATTAATTATTAATTTTCATTTTTACTTTTATTATTTAACATTTACTTGAGATATCGAATAATATTTAATTGATATAGATAGTTAATTTATTATAGAGTAAGAGTTCTCATGAAAAAAAAACTTAAATTTATCCTAGAATGAAGTTTCTATATTGAACGACTACATAAAGTATTTCTTTAATCTTTTAAATGTCAGATTGAAGTTAACCTTGACATAAATATATCAAATTTTGTTCAATTATTCCTTTCAGTTTTTATTTCTAAATTAATTCATATGTGTATTTCCATTTAGTTCCATTGTATTTATCAAAGACAAAAGAAAAAACAAAAGATTTTCATTCGAGATATTGTCATTAGATTTAATATAATTTGTATTATTCTCCATACTTTTAAATAAATTAATACTTTTTTGATTTTTTTAAAATAAATAAAAATTTAGATAAGTTGAAAATGGCACTCAAACGTATATCGAAAGAATTACAAGATTTACAACGTGAACCACCAGCTAATGTCAGTGCTGGACCAGTAAGATTTATTTTTAATATTAAGAATTAATTTATTTTTATTTAAATAAAGGTACAACCAAATGATATGTTTAATTGGCAAGCAACAATTCTTGGTCCTAGTAAGAATATATAACTTGAATTTGAATTTTTAGTTTGTTTTTTTTTTTTTTTTATTTAGGCGATTCACCGTATCAATCTGGTGTGTTTTTTTTATCGATAAATTTTCCAACTGATTATCCATTTAAACCACCAAAAATCACGTAAATTTATTTTATTTTGTTTTGACTAACGAGAGAAAAAAAACAAAGATTTTTGGTTTTTTTTTTGTATTTTAGATTTACAACGAAAATTTATCATCCAAATATTAATTCAAATGGTGCAATTTGTCTTGATATTCTTCGTAGTAATTGGTCACCAGCATTAACAATTTCCAAAGTTTTATTATCTATTTGTTCATTATTATGCGATCCAAATCCTGATGTATGTGTATAATTCAAATATATTTTTATTCTATTTATCTTTTTATTGCATCTTTTAAGGATCCACTTGTACCAGAAATTGCTAGACAATATAAACAAGATCGAGAAGCATATAATGCAGTAATTAGAAAAAAAGACACAAAAATTATTTGATTTCAAATTTTTAATTTCATTGTTTTTTTATTTTTAAATTTAGACTGCTCGACAATGGACACAAAAATATGCTATGTGATTCTCAAGCTGTCTCCTATTTTCTTTTTGTTGTGTCTATTACAGTGAACTAGAGCAAATAAATAAACATTTTTTTTTTGTTTCTCTCTTGCAAAGTTCGATGTATATAAATAAAAAAAACTAAAAAGAAGACAAACAAACTTGGAAATATGTTGTTAAATTTTAGAACAATCAAGATTATGAATATAAAACAATCAATAAAATCAAAAAAAAGAAAAGTATTTTGTTTTGCATTGTGTATCGATATGTTTTCTTTTTCTTTATGATTTGTTACAATGTCCTTAATACACTCATAGCCCTATTATGTAGAACATTCCTCTATTCATTTCTTTCATTCTATAGGCTGATTATATAAAGCCCTTTGATATATGACTAGCACGTGAAATAATCATGTGCCATCTTTTATTTATTTCTATGCGTAAGTATATAGCTCAATATGTGATCTGCATATGTTTTAAAGATAAATCTTAAGATACCTATCATAAGAAGATTGTCTACCATCATCTGATTTACACTCTACCATGTCATATGATTGTGGTGTTTGTCTTCAACTATTTTCAAGAGAAATATTGTATATGTATATATGTATATATATATATTTAGGTTGTAAGTTTTTTAACATTATTCTTATAGATATTTTGAGTATAAATAACATAAAAAACAAATGGTTACTTTGGTATCACATATTTCGAATTATTTTGAACAATTTAATAGTTCAGTAACAAATGATTTGAAATCAACAACACATGATCTTTCATCAGATAAGACACAACATCCATATTATATATTTGATTTTGAACGATATAGTGATAAAATAAGTGCATTACATGATTTACGTTTATTTATGATTCAACGTTGGCATAATAGTTTTTTCTATGCTATTGCATATTTATTATTAATTTATGGTAAATTATAACAAAAAAGAACTTTTTTGTGTATTAAAAATTTTCTTTTTTGGTTTTCAGCTGGTCAGATTTATATGAAGAATAAGCCACGATTTGAATTACGTTTTTGGTTAGCTGTATGGAGTGGATTACTTGCTATATTTTCTATATTTGGAGCAATTCGAGTTTTACCAGAATTAATTTATGTTATTTATAAACATGGAATAAAATATTCTATTTGTAATAATTCAAATGCATTTGGTGTTGTAGGATTTTGGTAAAAAAAATATACGTTTTCTTTTATTTTTATGATGATGATGATGATGATCTATTTTAGGACATGGGCTTTTTGTTTTTCAAAATTACCGGAATTAATCGATACCGTATTTATAGTTCTTCGTAAACAACCATTAATATTTCTTCATTGGTATCATCATGCATCTGTATTAGTTTATTGTTGGTTTAGTTATCAAGATTATAGTTCAACTGGACGGTAAGTAACGGACGGTTCATAAAGAATTATATTGATAGTGTAATAGCTCTTGAAATTCTGCACAAACTCATATTACTTTTTCGAATTGCTATTTATACTAAAGTATAGGAGTGAAAATCTGAGCAATTTATTGTAGTTAAAAGCAGGTCAGAGAAATGGAAAGCGATATTGTTTTACCAGAAGAATTCGTTTTCTAATAAAAATTCATCTACAAATGATGATGATGATGAATCATATAAGGAAGTAATTGAATACATGGAGATAAAAGCAACCTATTAAAAAAGGTTAATATGTGTTATCCTGATGGAGAAAGCATTCATGTATATGAAATTAATTGGATTTTAGAAGCAAAAAGATACCAAATGAATCTGGATTCACTTGTTTTTTTTTGTTGCTATATATAGACGAAACTAATTAGTATACTTTACATATAAAATAAACGTTTCAAAAACCGTACAGTGAATGTGGAAGTATCTGTCAGATGTCGATCAAATACGGTTGGGTATTGGGTACAGCTATCCGGATTCGATTCAGGCTCGGTTATTAAAAAAATACCGTTCTAGTTGTTTCTTAACATTTTGTTGCCAGATTTTAGAGCTCCTAGGAGAGCGTCATTTATGTATCTGTCTATATCCATTATTCTATCTTTCAGAATCATCAGCACTTTCAGCCTTTGTGCACATACACCTAACCGCACCATCACTTTGATCGGAAGTTTTGTTTTTTACATGAACAGCACTTTTCTTGTCAGCTTCTTCCCTGTTCACAACTCACACCTTATCATTCTGAGCATTGTCATTAGTTTATGGAATGATTTGACTGAAGCTATGAATAGGGACGACAATAATAACATTGATAGACGAAGTCAAATGCTTTGTTAAAAAATTGAAAAAGAAAAAATTTTACATTCTATACTTGATTGTACGATTGCGTCTGATGGGAACTATATTCATTAAACAAGTAATACCGTTTTGGACAGAATTTCAGGTACTATCTTTTGATTAAAAAAAAAGTGTTTCACTCAAGGAAGTAATAGGAGAGTATAATTTTTTATGAATCACTCGTTATAATAAAAAATAGAATAAATGAAATTTGTATCATTTCAGATGGTTTTGTGGATTGAATTATGTCGTTCATGCAGTTATGTATTCAGTAAGTAAAACGAAAATTTCATCTTCGAAACTTTTTTAATTTATTTATTTGTTTTTAGTATTATGCATTTCGTGCTATGAGATTTTCTATACCACGTTGGATATCAATGATAGTAACATTACTTCAATTAATACAAATGGTTGTTGGATGTTTTGTTAATATAAAAGCGTGGGAATATAAAAAGAATGGTGAATCATGTCAAGTCACTGATGAAAATTTAAAAGTATCATTTGTTATGTATGGAACATATTTCATGTTATTTGGTCATTTTTTTCTTGGTTCATATATCATTAAAAAATCTCATGGAAAAAGTCAAAAAGATAATATAATGAAAAAAATCAATTAGATCTCATTATATATATATTTTTTTTTCTTCAATAGTATATGTCACCGATCAATTAAGATTTATATGTCGTTTTTATTTTGACGAAACATCGTTATTGTTGTATTGTGATAGTTTCTATGTTTGTTTATCGTTTTGTGTATACTGTTTTTTTTTAATGTCTATGGAAAAGCAATAAAATATATTTGCATTAGGTGACATATTAAATATTTTGTTTCTATTTAAAACAAAAATTTATATGAATATTTTTGAAATTTTATAATGAAATACAATCATAGACAAAATTAGCTGTCTTCCTATAAAATGTGACAATATTCTATGATATTGAGCTGATATATTGAGTATACCCAAAATTCACACATCTTATTTCCCTTGTGAAAAATTTATTCAGTAGAAAGACACACTCAAAAAGTTTTCATTTGTCATTTGGCTATTATACTACAGACTCTGGTAAGTGCGAGTTTTCTCGAGAAAGGAAGAATATTCCTGCATTTTGACTATCTTGCGGTATGTGGTGCTACCTAGTGGCGGATTCAATAGCTCGATATCTCTCCTATAACTAATGCTAGGTGTAGTTCTGAACAAAAGGCCAGCCTGATGTAGACCTCTTGCGCTTCCCATACACATTAAATAACGACATATTAGTAGATAAGTAGGTGTATATCACAGCGTAGTCAACATGCTATCGGACAGGTGATCCGAAACAAACCGCCATTAGTGATTTGCCCAGGGTCATTTCATTGCTACTGATACAAAAATTTGAACATATTATCTCGAAGATACGTATCGAACAACGTAACGACTTCAAGTACGAGTACGTACTTGTACATGTTTATCTCTGCTTTACAAGTTACATCTGTTTTTTTAGAGCTTTAAAGGCAGTCTCATATGTCTATTTTATTATTGCCAAAGCCCGTGGCATATAATATTCAAGATCTTAGTAATTTGTATCTTAATCAGAAAATACCAACTAAGTAAATTTTAAAGTGATTTTAAAGAAATTTAGCATTAGAGATGGCTATGACATGGAACTTTCGAATGAGAGATTGAATGAAAATATTTGTTTGAATTTAGTTGAAATAAGATGATAACAAAAGGAGGATGATGTATGAATCATTATTCAATCGTCATTGCTGATTTTAATAAAAACGTTTAACTTGATATTGGAATAGCTGAAGACCATCGTTGCATATCGTGCTATTGATAGTGTAGACATAAGGTTTTTTTTCAAAATCAACGGACGTATTCGATTGGTATTAAGTTCGATTATGACCGTAGGTGGCACACCAGCAAGCAACGGGTTAGCAGTTCCTTCCCCTAATTGTTCATGTTTCATCCGTATATCTTATTTTTTCATGTTTTCTCAACTTTTGATTATCAAGTGACTTAAATTTCTACTTCTTTCTGCTTTCGTCCATGATCACCATATAAGAAAGTACTCATAAAAGAGATCAACTAACTCCTCACATAAATAATTAAATAAACAATTTTAATGAGAAGACTATAGTGTTTTCAATTGATTCTTATGTTTATAATTTCTTTCATCAAGAAGAAATAGCTGATGAATGGAAGACAATCTTTCACATGAGTATCAGCTCGAAAATCTAATGATTGATGAGTGGAAGATAATAACAAAAAAAAACTTGATTTTTGCTCACTCGTTCTCAATACATCTGTCCTCAATAAAAAAAACCTTACACTATCCTCAAACGCTTAATATACTGTCAAATAAATTAATACACAGTCTTCCGATACCATGTCTTTGAGAAATTAATTTCGAAAAACAAATTTTTACTGTCAAGCTTTGAACTATGGCTAGGAGGAAGAGTATAGTCTCATTTCCGAGTTGGAATCGGTCCGATCCAAATTTTAGGTCAATCCGATTCGATAGGTTCTAAACTATTTTTCCAGATCGATGGAAACCCGTCGCTTTGTCAGATCACTTTTAATCGATTGAAGGAAGTAGCTTTTAAAAACCGCTCAGTTTCCTTTTTCTGCTCGCATTTTTAGAACCACTTAAGAAAAAATATCATGCCACAGTCGTTCATGTTCTTAAGATTTCTCAAGATAAATTTGTGATATCTATTTAGCGTGAAAAGTAGATAATTTAATCACCAATTGGTTTCTAA